CACACACACACACACACACACACACACACACACACACACACACACACTGGTGGAAATGAGTCAGCCATATCCTGTGCCAGGACTCAAATTCACTTTGCCTTTCTGAAAACAAGATTCAAGCAATCCAATAATAATCTAATTGAATATTCTGTAAATTGCAGTCTGACCACCACATAAACAAACATATAAAGTACACAGGGACAGTCATCAGCTGTGAATTTGATGATAATATTCAAAACTTTCTACTTATCTGATAATAAAGCACTAGATTACAGTGTGAGGAGAAAAAAGCATTTTCAATGACAATGTCAACTTTTGTCATTTTAAGTACAATATACATCTTAAATTTATGATTGATCCATATGGTTATAAAAAGTGAGGTGAACACAACATATTTAAAATACAACAACCTGCTAAAAAAGAGTGCTTTGGAGGACTTCAGAATAGAAGGGGGAGAATCCCATTACGTCTGGTAGATAACTGCTAACTTGTGGCAGTCAAACAGAGTGTCAATCAGAGAGACACATGTGGTCCAGGACAGTGGTGTGTGTGTGTGTGTGTGTGTGTGTGTGTGTGTGTGTGTGCAGGTGCAGTTTGTTCTGTTTGGTAATTTTGTAATGGACTTGGATTAAGAATATAAAAGATAAATTTATTTCCTCTGTGGATGGCACACCATTGAGATAACTGAAACCAGAATGAATGGTAGATTCAGGAGACAAACAACGATACGCCAATCCAACAGCCAAAAAGATAGCAAAGCCCATTGAGACTACAGTGCTGACTTCCATTTTGCTGGAGTAAGAAAATACTTAAAATTTATAATGAGAAACGATTGCTGAATATGGAAGTCAGTACATGACTGAGGTTCAGAATTTTTAGATTCATAGTAAATTATTATTTTCCACAATGTACACAGATGCAGAAAAGCTAGATGTAGGCTGAGCTAAGAGATTAAGTTTGGGAGCATGAAGGAAATTTCAGGCATAACTGCTTCTTTGTCTTCACATCAGTCTTCACTCCAAATATTAGGTTGATTTTGAAAGATGTATGTCTAGAATGATATAGACAAAATAGAGATTACAAAGAAATCAAGAATGAGTAAAAGAAACTAAACGGCAAGCCTGCTTGACATCAGGATGTGACTAGGGCCTGAAAGATGTGTTGAAATATTTAGGTGTCTAATATTGAAAAATGTGCTGCCAGTAGTAGCAAGACTCAGAACAGAATGACAACAAAAGTCATAAACACACAAGAAGAGCCTCAGCGGAAGATCTTCCTAATAAGGAGAGCTTCCAGAAGGAAGGGAAATAAGTTTGGACAATGGAATTGATCACTGGTCATGCCAGCCCCCTTCTCCAAGCCTGCTTCCTGGCCCACCCCACTTTTTAGTCTTTCTTTTGTTCTTAGCTCATCTAGACAAATTAGGATCATCCAAGATTTAACAACAACAACAAAAAAAGCTTTATAGGTTTGGTTCCAGACATATTAGAGAATCCTGGTAACATTCAAGTGCAGAAATGTAGTAGTTAGCTGCAATCTGGAGATCTTGAGGGTCGACAGCACCTCTTTCAGGCAGAGAGCCTGGTAGAACAGCACACCAGGCTCTGCTCTTCTCCCTTGTGGCTTCCTAGGAAATCCTCCTCCCATCCCGACAGGCCATGTAGGCATGCCTTCTTCTCATATTTGGGTTGTGAGCCTAGCCTTTAATGGCTGAATCATCTCTCTAGCCCAGCCTGCTGTTTCCTAAGTCTACTGTCTGTGCTACAGTAATCTCAGAAGAGAAACTATAAATGACCCTATAGGCTGGAGGGAAGCAGCAGTAGATGGAAGTTCAGACTCCCGTCCTACCTTTACTGTGCCCAGTAACTCCTCAAGCAAGAGAAGTCAGACTCTGCCTTCTTGGTTTTATTTTTCTAGCCAGTCACTCACTGGCTCCTTCATAAGGCCACTGCCAACCTTCCCTCAGAACACTCTTTTTCCACAGCTGTTAATTGCCTCTGTTGGCGCTTTGCACTCCCAGCAGACCATCTTTCTCTCACTGCTGCGCCACTGCGCTGCAGTCTGAAGAACGTTACATTTTGGGGACTGATCCGATATGTCTAGCCTCTCAGCAGCTCTCTCTCTGTTCAGCCGTCTCTCTTACGATTAAATCCTCACTGTGCTCACGATAGACCATGGGCTGCAGTTGGCTAAGCTGGTCTTCGGACACACCTTTCCAGCTCTTAGGAACAGATAAATGGAGGAAATCATTTCGATTTGCCCTTTTCCTTTTATCATAAGATGAAAACTCACATGGAGATTCACTAAGTGATTTGGACCAGTGTCCGACGCCTGGGTGAAGGCATGGCTGCCCTTCCTTTAGGCTTTGGCTCATTGCTGCAGATGGTGGCTGTTGAAGAGTAATGTCTGGACTCCACAGCATAAAGCTGTATTAAAAATGCTTCAGTAGAACGAGCTTCCCTAAATTCTAGGATCCCACATTCTTAAGATATTTGAGAGCTAAAAATAATGAACACCATGGCCTCTTAGGCCTTTGAGTTTAAGATTTTCCTTTCAAAATAATACTTATTCTCTGAGGACAGGAGGACAGTACAACTTTATTTAGCTTAGGGGAACCCAAAATAGAACAGAGGAGATAACGAAGCAACTGCACATACATCTTTCACCGTTGTCCATTCATGCCAAACCTGATGTGTCTTGAAAAATACAAATCACTCACAGTGAAAACTATCTCTAAAACCCTACACTGATCGTTAGACAGTGACGCCGGGGAATTTCAGTAATTACCTTACGATAAGCTACAATGCAGATGGCTGTGTTATTTCCTCAGCCTTATGTAAACAGAAACGGCCTTTTATGGCTGCATGGCACGGAAGTTTACTGAGAGTCGCTCTGAATCCACTCCTATCCCACCTCCCGGAAAAGACAAGAAGAATTGGCAGCTCTCACTCCTGGCTGAGACCTCTCAGCTTCCCTGCTGGCCTCTCCCGCGCTGACTCAGAGCTGGAGGGCAGCGTGATGAGCCTGAACCAGCAGCCGGGAGCCAAGCTGGACCGCGCCTGCTGGCCTGACCAGTCGCAGCCTGTGTCAGGAACATTTTTGTGTGAAAAAGAAAAGAAGCCTTTCCTGGAACTAGTGTTTGTCAAAATACTGATACACTTAAATGTTACTTGGCGGTTCTAGTTTTGAGAGAAGGTCTGGGGAAACACCAGCCTCTGAGCCAGCGTTCTCTGGCGTGACGGGGGCAGCTTTAGGAGTACAGCAAACTGGTGCTCCACTGGGCTCAGTAGATGTTCCTGACCCGAGGCCGCGGTGATGCGACCCTGTGTCCTTTCTACAGTGCTTAAGGGGGAGACTCCTGAGAATCACGTGCTGATCACCAAGCACAAGGAGAGATTATGGAAAAAATTCTTCCAAAGGAACTAGATTTTGAAAGGTAAAAGCAAAAAAGTCTTTGTCCTTATTTTGAAAACTGATTTTTTTTTTCCCATTCTACAATTCTGAGACTCTGAAGTTATCAATTAATTTCAACTGCCTCCTCCACCCCAGACGAAACAAAGCTTCAGAGAGGTAAATCTCTTGTGGATCTCCACCCTGTTGCTAGAGGCAGAGCTGAGACGAGCCTGTATCTACAGAAGAGCCTTAGGGACAAACAGCCTGTGGGTCCTGACACCCATCACTCATGACACCCCGGAATGGTCCCTAGCAGTACCTTTCAGGGCAGGCGGCGTGAACACACTCTGCTTCCTTTGCTTAGGGGATGCGTTCTGCAGCTGCAGACAAGGAAAACAAAGGCGTTAGACTTGCGCAGAAAACACACAGCGGTCAGACCTGTGAAGAAGACAAAACTGCGCGAAATCTCCAAGGCCTTTGCGATGTCTCCCCACGGAGAAGTAGCGCTGTAATCAATTACAGAGAGGCTCAGTGATACCCCAGACCCCCAAACTGTATAAAGCTAAAGGATCTGTTTCCTCATAAAATTCTCAGCTCTTAGATCTTGAAATTGTTTCTTACTTTTATTATTAAAATTTGTTTACAATATTGTATGTGATTTTATTACATTTTATTTGTGTTCGCATGTGGGTGGGTGGGCACATGCTTGGTGCACGCCTGTAGGTCAGAGGACAATTCCTAGAGTTGGTTCTTTCCTTCTAGGTGTGGGTCCTGGAGATCAGACTTGGGGTGTCAGGCTTGTTTGCAAAATTGCCTGTTGAGCTTTCGCCTTCCCCCAGATTAGTTTATTTTAAGGAAATAAAAGGATAGTAATCCAATTGCAAGAAAAACATGGGTTTGATACAAAGTGTACATCAAAAAATAGGCCAGTGGTATAGATAGATATAGATCCACACACATAACATATGTACATATATGTGTATATTTATATTATCTGCCTCTGTAACTGATGAGGGTTCCAATGAGAAAATTAGATTCCTTCATTCGTAGAAGCAATCTTGAGTTGACACATTCAGTTTAAAGCCTGCTTTTACTCAGAATGACAAGGTTAAGGTAATACTCTTTTGTCTGTCCTTTTGGAAAGTTACCTTACTTACTAACTTACCTTTTGGTAAGTTCTTTCTTACCAAAACTGCTACATAGCACTATAACATAAACATCCCAGATCATAACAAGGCTATTTAGAAGTTTCACTTTTTAAAATGGCAAATATAAGAACATATTTCAAGGTCAAAACCACTGTTCTTTAATTATATGGAATCATCTCTATATTACAGGTATTATTTATTCTTACTGTTTATGTAGTTCATGCCTCAGTCAGTTGTGTCCAGGCGACTTTACTGAGTTTATTGAAAGGACAGACCTGTAGTGTTGCCTCGCACGCACGAAGCCTTGTGTTTGACTCCTCCATCACTTCATAAAATGGACTATAGTTGTGGATGTCTGCAGTCCTATCGCTAGAGAGGTGGGTGAAGGAGGGTCAGAAGTTCAAGGCCAGCCACTGCCATCTAGTGACACTGAGGTCAGCCTGGGCTACATGACACTTTGTGTCAAAAAGAAAACTTAAAAATATTTTAATGCAATGAATGAAAGGGTCCTAATTAATAAGTTCTATCATGTGCAGTGACCTTTGCTGAGAAAAACTTAAGTATAAATAGTTACAAGGCATATTTGAGAAGTGGTTTTCTTTTCCATGCATATACGAAAGAATGTGAGGTATAGAGTTTGAAAGAAAGTGGAAATTATTTTGTAAAGTGTTAGCCCGAAGTGAGGCACATTTGTATAAACTAAGTCGTCCTCAAAGTCATCATCCAGATGTTATCATTTACTGATGCAAAATAAGTCTATCAAAAAGTAAAGGTAAGAAAATTGAAACGAACACTTGTCAAATGCTTAGCAAATGAGCAAGCTGCAGCAGAGATTGTTTTTTCCCTTGTACTGAGTATGGAACCCAGGCTCACACACAGGCACACTCCCCACTGAGCTACTCGTCCGGCCCAGCGTAGTCTCTGGAGCAGAGTTCTGTGGTGCCCTAACATTAACCATGTAGGTGACTGACGATTCTGGGGCATCATTCTTGCTTCAGTCGCGTCAGGCTGATCTTGATCAGCAGCCACTACCTCTGGGATTTCACGTATCTTTTTCCATACACACATTCTACACTAAGTAGGAAACCAATTCTACAGAAATGTTGTGTTGTCTCAGCAGGATAATGGTGAAACACAATGAAACCTACTTTATATAGGTGCTTAGTTTTCAAAGCCGCTTTTGCACCTACTTTCTCAGTAAATTGTTTAAAGCTGTGAAAATGTTATTTGATACTTTGCAATTTCTAGAATTTCCCCTTTGGGTGTTGTACATTTACTCATGATCAGGGAAACTGCTTACACCCACAGCCCATCCATTCTCTCTTTGTTCCTTTACTGACTCTACATTATTTCTCTACAATATGTTTTATATTCTCTATCAGATCTCCAAACCTCCCCTGCCTGAATTGTTCCTACCTGAATTGTTCATATAGATATGAAAAAGGTAAGAGGTGTTGAATGTTCAGACTGGCTCTACGTTCGTATTTGAACCTGTTATTCAGGGAACCCATTAGCTTTGGTTACCGAAGCTCTAGGTCTCCTTCTCCCCAGATTTGAGCAATGGGGCTGTCAATGGGGCTGTCTTTGGCTCTAAACAGTTAAAGGCCTTTCGAGATATGAGCAGCACAGCCTCCATGCCCTTACTCCTGAATTTCAATGTTGCCCAGACCTGCTTATCAGGTTCATATATAATCACTCAGGAAATTATTATTGGCATATCCTACCACTAAAGTCAATGTTTTAATTTAGAAATTTTTGCAGGGCTTAAAGTTTCAGCAAGAAGTAAGGTAACTGAGAGGCAGAGATTTTCATATTATTTTACTGCAAACTCACTAAAAGCAACCTAGTACTTTCTATAACACAGTAATATTTATTCATGCCATTTGTTTACATTGTCTGTGGTATTATCACACACAGAGTTAACATTAATGTAGACTAGTACCAACAAATTCTCTTCCAAAGAGTATGCTGGGCTAGGGGTGTAGCTGAGTCGGGCGCGTGCCTGTGCAGGAGACGCTGGGTTTGATCCCCAGAATAAGGAGGGGGAAAAGAAACCACAGTGATGTTATCACAGTTAATTGTGTTTTAACATAGTTATTTGAAATATAAGAAAACTCACTTCTTCCTGTGTGTTGCTCACTCTCTTCTCTTCAATTTCTGAAAGAGAAGTTGATATAATTCATTAGAAATGTAATGGTCTTTCTTATAATTGCATGCTAAAACCTTCAAAATCACAGTTAGAAATATTTTCAGCAATTGTCATATGCGTGTATAACAACCGTGAGGTAGGGCAGAGGACGGGGAGACAGGTGAGCTGCTTTCCTCTGAGAGATTCTTCTCCCAAAAGTTTAAGAAAACGCATGGGAAAGTCCTGCGTCTGACAACCCAGACTCGCCAGCCTTCAGGGACCCCAGGGATGTGACGGTCAGAGCCACGTGACTCAGAGCCACGACCGATGGCTCTGACCGTCAGTCCCCCAGCGTCAAGACATAAGCATTCTTCTGTTTTCATTGATTTCCCTACGTTTGCCAATAACTTTAGGATGCTGATGCTCCTGCTCCGGGGTCTTCGAGTTTGTCACTAACGAGCCTTGTTTTCACAGCCAGCTTCATCTCCATGACTCCTGAGGCAGCAGCTGCCTCCCTTCCGTGGGCCTCTGTACAGAGCCTGCACCTGCCAACTCTTTCCTCTGAAAGTGCTCAGAGCTTTTCACCAGCTGTACAGAGTGGAGACAGGCGAAGCTGCTCAGGTCTGCCACTCCGCGGAGGCCTGGGCTGGGTTGAGAGTCCTTCCCTCTAGCCTTGTTTGGTTTCTGTCTTCTTGACCTAGTTGCCCTTTCTTATTCCTTATGCTAGTCCCGAAACCAAAAGACTAATCTGGGGGTTGAAAACTGAATAATGGATTTGTCTTTGAATATTAACAACATAAGTAGTTGAATACAAAATTAACTCGCAAAAAAACAGTAACCCTCCCATATTCAAATAACAAATTGAGTGAGAGAGAAATCAGGGAAACAACACCTTTCATAATAGCTTCAAATAATACCAAATATCTTGGGGTAACTCTACCCAAGCAAGTGAAAGATTTATGTAATTAAAAACTTTAAGATGTTGACGAAAAGCCAGGCACAGTTGGGGATGTTTTGGCTTATGATATGTAAACATGTTTTTGTCATAATTCCAACTTGAGGATTTTAGTTTGTCCACACGTGTTAAGTGTCTCGTGCGGAGCGTGGTCTTTGCCAGCTGGAATTAGTTGACTTCTGAGGACTTTGAGGAGTTTGAATATGACAGCCCAGAGGAAGAAGGCTTCAGCTATAGGCTTAGACTTTTTAACAACCTACTTTATTTAGAGTTCTTAAACACTTCTACCTCTCTTCCAGCCCCCCAACACTGGGTAGGAGAGAAAGAAGGTTAGTGGGGTCAGAGAGCAGAGTTCTCTCTGCTACTTCGTGCTGGGTAGGGTCGTAGATTCTTTTGGGGGCAACACCAATGTCAGTCGTCAGGAAACCCAGCAGTCCAGGAAACCAGCAAATCAGCAAACAGCAAAGGCAGCTGAACCAACTAGCAGCCAGCAGTCCTCCGCCAAGCAACCGCGCCTTTGCTCTGGGCTGTCATATGTTTTATATAACATATATGAAAGAACTTGAAGAAAATATCAGAAAATGAACCAATTCACCCGAGTTCATGGATCAGTAGGATTAACATAGCAAACATGGCCACCTTACCCAAAGCAACCTACAGATTCAATATAAACACAGACGGAGCAGAACATACCAGTTACCCAGAGCTAGCTAGAGGTAGCAAACAGCTTTCTCTGCAGGCATGAGTATGTATGTTTCTATGTACATCTATGTATTCTGTGTAAAAATAACACCACTGAGAAGCTTCAGCATCAGTGTGCAAACTTCCGCTATCGTCTGTCCGTTAAGTATCACATGTGATCCACAGTAGCCACGCCAGCACAGTGACCAATTGTAATGCTAAATGACCACAATAATCAACCTTGGTCTCATGCTGTCGAGCTTTCCAATATTTAAACTAATATCTAAAACAATATTTTAAGACCCAAATGAGCTCTACTCAGTCACTCTGAACATTTTGTACTTTCTCATGAGACACACTAAAAGAGTATCTTTCAATAAGAACTATGTCCATCATATAATCAAATATAAAAGACCTTTATGGTTTTTATTGTGTGATAATGACAAAAATTCACTTTGCTATAGAAACAAAAATGGAGAAAACTCAGTCCTATATCCCTATCCAGAAAGTAAAGAATTAAGTAAATTTTAAGTCAAAGCAACTCAAACAGAGGTAAAAGTGTTCAAAAACATTTTACAGTTTCCCTAAAATTCACTGATAATTCCTTTTCCTTACTAGGTTGTTGTTGGATTAGGAAAAAATAATCTTTTCTGCCCTCATAACCGCTTATATAAGCCTACAGTGTCTGGTCATAAGACACATTTACAAGGAGAATGAATACAAACAAGATGTCCCTAATAATTTGCACCATGGAACTTGTCACCAACAAAGGAGCCCCATAAAAGCACATTCAAGTCTTGCCAACTCTCTGTAACATCAAAATGACATTTATAGTGACCACATGTTCTCTTCCAGGCTCCAAGCTGTGATCCCCACGGCCAGCTTCAGCAGTTTTCAGGGATACTGGACCTCCGATAAAATAGGAGAAGAGGTCCTTCTATTCAAATATTGTCAAACTTTCTCAGTGACAAGAAAAATTGATTTACTTTTGGGTACAATCAAACAAAATGAATTTTTAATTGAGGAGAAGTTTTCTAGTTGACTATCCATAATTAAAAACTACAAAAATTGATGACAAGCTAGCGATCTCCCTGCAGTTAAGAGCACGTGATGCTTTGCTATAAGAAACAGCATTCTTGTTGAATGACTCACAAACTCTAGCTCTAAGAGATCCGATGTCCCCTTCTGGTGAGTGCAGTTATACGCGCACATAGAGACACACAAAGACAAGATACATACACACACACACACACACACACACACACACACACACACACACACAGATATACACAGACAGCCAGAACCATACACAGACACTCAAAGACACAGATATACACAGTTACAGACCTTCACATAGAGACAGGCAGAGACACACAAAGACAAGATACACACACACACATACACAGACACACAGAATCATACACAGACACAGATACACAGACAATCAAAGACACAGATATACACAGACACACAGTTACAGACACTCAGATAGAGGCAGGAACAGACATACAAAGACACAGATACATACACACACAGATACACACACACAGACACAGACTCACACACAGACACAGATAGACAGACACTCAAAGACACATATACACACAGACACATACACATAATAAAAATGAAAATAATTCTTTAAATTTATATACATATTGAAGCTATAAAATTTTCAGAAAGACACAGTTTTTACTTTTCCCCTTTATTTAATCACTTTACAGCCTGATTGTAGCCCTCTCTTTTTCTCTCCTCCTAGTCCCACCCTCACACCTCCTCCCCCAATTCCTCCCTCCTCTTGTCCAAGAAGGGGAGACCCCCATGGGTACCAACCCACCCTGACATATCAAGTCACAGCAGGACTAAGTGCATCCTCTCCCACTGAGGCCAGACAAGGCAGCCCAGCTAGGGGGAAGGGATCCAAAGGCAGGCATCAGAGTCAGAGACAGCCCCTCCTCCCATTGTTAGGGGACCCACATGAAAAACAGGCCGCACATCTGCCACATATGTGTAGGGGCGTAGGTCCAGCCCATGCGTGCTCTTTGGTTGGTGGTTCAGTCTCCGTGAGCCCCCATGGGCCCAGGTTAGTTGGCTCTATAGGTCTTCTTGTAGTGTCCTTGACCCCTCCAGCTCCCTCAATCCTTTCTCCCACTCTTCCACAAGACTCCCGGGCTCCACTATTGTTTGGCTCTGGGTCTCTGCATCTGTTTCCATCAGCTGCTGGATGAAGCCTCTCAGAGGACAGTTAAGCTAGGCTCCTGTCTGCAAGCACAGGTATATCATACTTTTAATCTTCTCTTTCAATAGTCATTTGGTCTGACAGAAAGAGTTCCTTGCTTTAGGGCTGGAGCTAGAGTAGAGTCGGTAGGCTGAGAGCCTAGCATCTGTGAAGGCCTGGCTTCAATAGTCCCGTGCCACAGGGACAACAGGATGGCTCATGCTTATCATCCCAGTAACTGGGAGGTAGCAGCTGGAGGGTCAGAACTTCCAGGTCATCCTCGGTTGTCAGAGAGCACTCTGCAGACCATACAGAGGACTTGCAGAGGAATGGCGATAGTCTCTGCTTACTTCTTCCACTGCTCTTGGCAGAGAAGCATAGGGGCTGTACAATAGCATCTTGTCAAAGACATACACCTGATACTCATGGTTCATGAAAGAAGACCATCTTCTTATCCCAGAACGCAGCAGAATGGTTACTCTTCATTGATAGCAAATGCTAAAAAGTTACTTTAACCAGGAAATGTTTGATTTGAATACCAGTTAAAGCAAAGCCATAACTTCTAACCTTAAAAATAGTTTTACTCAGTCCAAGGAAATGCAACAGACACTCAAGTGCCATAAGCATCACCATGCCAGGTGATTCAAAAGGGAATCAAGGAAAATTAGGATGTTTGACTTTGCACTAGTTTCTGGAGACAGGAAAGAAATCAGCATCAAGCTGTATGTGTGTGTGTGTGTGTGTGTGTGTGTGTGTGTACATGTATATGTATGCATGTCTATGAGAAATTCATAGAAATTCTCATATATGTATATAAAAATCTATGAGGGTAAAGTCATATGTAATAGACTCTTTCATAAAATTTAGCCTCATGGACCAACTAAAACCAAAGAAATGAATGGTTTACTAAGGGTGTCTCTTGCAGAACTGCACTAGCTTATAAATAGAGGGCCCTGGTGGAGATTCAGTTTCTTAGGCTAAGCTCTAAAGATGCACCTTCTCATGTGTTTAGATAAACTTGAGCCTTTACTTTAAGCAGCTGTTTCAGAAATGCAAAAGAAAAGGCCAATTCAGACAAAACTGGAGAACTCAGTATCGAAAACTGATACTCTGAAAAACAGTATCAAAAACTGATACTCTGAAGACTTCACCTGTTCAAAAGGGAAAGAAGTGAC